TTTTTTTTTTTTTTTTTTTTGCTCTTTTTCCTTCTCTTCCACGTAAGCTATCATCCCATTCTTTATTTTTTTTTTCTTTCTTTCCTTTATTTATTTTTCATTTTTCATTTTTTTTAAATTTTTTAATTTTAATTTATTTTAGTTCTCGTTTTCTTTTTTTGCTCTTTCTTTTTTCTTTATTTTTTTTTATTGGTTTCTTTTATTTTATTTTAGTTTTTTTGTTTTTTTTATCTAATTCGATTTTTTTAATTTAAAATAGTAATTTTATTGCAAACATTTTATTAATTATATTAACATTACATGTTATTATATTACAAAATAGTTTTAAAAAATGACAATATAATTAATAACCTAATAATAGCACAACATTATTATTATTATTATTATTATTATTATTATTATTATTATTATTATTATTATTATTATTATTATTATTATTATTATTATTATTATTATTATTATTATTATTATTATTATTATTATTATTATTATTATTATTATTATTATGGTGAGAGTGGTGATGGAAAAAATGAAAGAAAGAGATTGATCGGTTGGACGAGAAACGAGTTGGGATCGGGGTCGGGGTCGGGGGAGCCGCCCCCATCCAGTCTATGTTTGCTAGTCACTTCACAGTTTCTGATTAAGGTAATACTTTTTATTTAATTTTTTATTATGTGTTGAAAAATAACACTTGATGTACATTTTGGCAGGCTTTATTGCACTTTATATACTCTAATACTCTCTCGGAAAAGGAGATGATGTATTTGGTTGATGGATATGCTTTTGGGAAATCTCTATCGAACACAATCGGAGCGAAATTGCTTGCAGCAGCCGATAAATATGATGTGAACAGGGCCGGTTTTGAGGGGAGGCGAAGTAGGCGGTCGTCTATGGCCCCTGGATTTTTTCGAAAAATTAGGGCCCCCAAATTTTTTTATACCCTTTATATATGAATATTTATTGAAAAAAAATATATTATATATATAATTATTGAGAACTTTAATTTATGGGGAAATTTGCTAGACACCCCTTATTTTGGACTTATATGACTAGAGATCCTAGTTAGATGAATATAGGCATATGTCCTTTCACCCATAATTAATATAAATAAATTAAAA